GAGGACCAGCCTGCTCGCCCGGCCGGCCTGGCTCCGTTTTTTAGACACCCCCTGGGAAGCAGCCAGCCCCCCTCCCTTCCAAGGCCCTGGGCGCCCCCAGGCCCAGGCCAGAGCACAGCCCTCTCAGCGCGCCGCCCCTGGGGTGGGACTCCTTCGGCGCCCACGCCGCGGGGCGGGGCGGGGCATCTATTTTTCTCTCCTTTTCTTTTCTTCAATAAAAAGAACTGAAAACCCACCTCCTCTCTCCGAGTGGCCTTCCTTTCTCTGCCAGCCGGGACCCCGGCCGGCCAGTGGGCGCTGCAGCCCCAGCGGTGCCCCAGTGCCCCTTGGACCCCCAGGTCCAGCAGTCAGGACCTGATGTGGCAGCTCGGCGGCCTTTGCCCTGCCGTGTCCATCGGAGGGTGCCCAGACCTCCCTCCGGGGCGTGGGGCCTGAGTCGGCATGCAGCGGCTTATACATAAATATGTATCTGCGGCACCAAGGGTAAATTACCAATGGGGGACCCGGAGGGAGCAGGCAGCCTTAAACCTGGAGGCCACCTCCAGGCAGCAGATTCCACCCAAGGGCTGAGCCTCTGCCTGGGGTCTCCACCTTGGGGTTCGGCCTCAGGCCTGGGGCTGGGAAGATGTGCCCCCACCCTCGCCATGCAGACCCCTACCCTACTGTCATGGTTTTCCCTATTGCCACCCGCCCATCCTCCCTGTCACCCACTCTTCACCACTCCAACCCTGCCAACACTCCCAGCACGACCCCAACCACCAGTGCGTCCCCCTCATCATCTAGCGCCCCCACGCCATCACCCCACCTCCATCAACCCCATTCTCTACCACCCAGTTCCTCAAAGCCCCACCCCCTCCGTGCCCCGCCCCTCACACCCGCCAGCATACCTGGGCAGGCGGAGCAATGAGGCTGGTGGACTCCGACGCTGACAGGCTTGGGTCTCAGGTGTCCACTGTCCACCACTGGACACTTTGTTTCTGGACTTTGGTGGGCCCCTCTGGCCACAGGCAGGAGGTAGTCTGGGAGAGATTACCTGGGGCACGGGTGTAGGAAGTGAAGAGAGCCACCCCTTCTGGGCCCCTCCCTGCGATGTCCACACCCCATTCTCCCCCTACCCCCCGCAAACACACCTCTGGCCCTGAGACCACTGTTGAAAGAACACGCCCACCTCTGTCCTGCAGTGGGGATGCCGGCTCCTGCACCTCCCCTGGAGTCCAGCAGAGGGCAGCCCAAACCACCAGAAAGCTCCTGAGTGGGCAGCTGCCAGGCTGAGTAAGGAGGGTGGGTGGTGGTGCTGGGAGCTGTGTGCAGTGGTAAGCTGTGTGCAGCTGGGCCTATACTGGGTCCTTCAAACACTGGCCCCAGGGTGAGCTGGCTGGGTATCCCGGGCAAAGGGGCTCCAGAAAGGAGGGGCGGGGGCCTCCAGACCTTGTTGCCCTCACCCCTGGGACCCAAACAGAAAACAATGCCCTGCTGGAGAAAGAAGGCCCACCTGGTCAGGTGCCCCGGTCCTCACAGCCCTGCACTCAGTGTCCCAGGCTGTCCCCACCAGGTGGACTGTCTGTCGCGGCCCTGCAAGTGTGCCCCCGACTGTCCCAAAGCACTTCGAGCAGGCAAAGATGCTAAGTTCCTGCTGCCTTGTGTGTGTGACAGGACTGTCCAAGTGACCTCAGGTGGCCCCAGGTGGCTACAGTGATTTGAACGAGTGTAAAAGGCCAGGAGTGACCGCAGTGGCCCTGGGGTGCGTCCACATGCACGTGTGGCTGTGAGGTTGCGCACAGGTGATTACTGGAGACTGAGTGACCACAGGTGAGGCCATGGCTCTGAGGGACTGAGGGACCACATTAAGTGGGTGGGTGGTGAGAGGACATCAGCAAGGACGTGTGGCCACCGCAGCCACTGTGAGCATCGTGAAAAGCTCTCCCCGCGGGCCGGCCTGGGACAGAACCAGCACCTGGTGACAGCTCACAGCCCCAAATTATGACTCTTGTAGTTAGCAGCTCAATGCATAACCACTATGCCACCAGGGCTCCAAATTATAACTCTTAACTCCTGGAGAAATGAAGACAGAATGTGTGAGATTTGGCAGCAAATGGAAGCCCCAGGGCAGCTTATGACTGATTTGACCCATTCCGTGTGCACGCTCGTCGGTCACCACAGTGACACAGGGTCACTGCGACAGTGACCGTGGTTTTGAAGGGACAGGCTGGTCTCACCTGTGATGATGAATGCACACCGGACGTGGTGAAGAGCTTGGGGCCGGGTCTGTCCAGCCGAGTCCCCTGAGGGTTCTCCACTGTCCTGTGTAGTGAGTGCCCTGGAACAGCTCCCACCCCACCCACCCACCCACCTCACACACACTGTGGCAGGAAAACCGGAACAGAGCAAACCAATCAGAAAAGCAAGAGGGGC